TGGAACGGAAATGCTAAAAACTAGGGTCTCCGGAACGGCAAAAATGTAAAAATGCGATGCACTGGAACGGAAGTTTAGGGTGAAAAAGGGGGGTCTCTCCCGCGGCACATACCTACCATGCAATATATATGGAGTGCGCCCCCCCCCCACCGGGAGCTAAATGTGATATTTAAGCCAGAACATCAAAATAAGTGGAATTATGTCGCACCTGGCACCAGCGTATGCCATGGAGAGAGTAGCGGATCCGGCACCAGCCTTCGCGTTTACCACCTCTGTGCCTGCCTCCTGGATTCGCACTGTCAGCTTCTCCAGCTCGTCCTGTGGGAAGGAGACGCTTGGTGTTGCCTGAGAAATCACTGGGATAATCGTCACTCCAGCATGGCCACCTATGACAGGGATGTTGACCTTGCTCACATCCAAACCTTTGGCTTCGGCCACAAAGGTGTTCGCACGAGCGATGTCCAGCGTGCTGATGCCAAACAGTCTACAATTAAAACATTTACACATACATATAACACATACATAATGAATATAAAATAGTACCGTAGTAATAATAATAATATAAATTATTTTACAATTAAAAATAATGCTTTTATTATTAATTTGCTTGAGCAATTGCCAGTTGCTGCATTGAAAGATATATGCGAAAATGTGGTGGGTTTACTGGTTTATTTTATCAGTTAACAAGACCATGAGCAAAAACTGGGGAATAGAAATAAATTTTATCAAGTGACTTTGTAAAGCCTGATGAACAGCTGAATAATAATTCGTATTACACACTAGGATTACATAAACCTTTTAATGAACATGTTGATAACTAATGGCAAATTTCACTATCACAAGAAGACAATTTATCGAACATTAAGAAATAGAGGTGGAAGTAAACGCTTATTATTCAATAAATAAAATTTCATTGATATCAAATTACTACTGTCCTTGCTGACGAATAAATGATACTCTGTAAAGGAAGCATACCTTTTCGGATCAAACGTGCCGTGTTTCTTCATCACCTCCGCAGCGATCGGTACCGTGGAATTGACTGGGTTGGCGATGATGCCGACAATGGCCTTTGGGCAAACCTGTGCACAAGCATCGACTAGATCGCGGACGATAGATGCGTTGGTGTTGAAGAGGTCATCTCTTGTCATGCCTGGCTTCCTGGGAACACCAGCCGGAATGATGACCACGTCCATGCCAACCAATGAATCCTTCAGCTGCTCAGTGCCAACGAAGCCTTTTACCTGAGTTTAATTAAAACTCATCAAGTTCATTATGAACAAAAATATATTATACAAAATTATTAAAATGAAAGTGTCAATGACATTATAGCTCACATTGGGTGTGATAGAAAAGGGAGATGCTATTTAAAATTTGGTAAATGTTTCATTTATGACAGACCGAAATGTGATCAAATGTCCTTACTCCCCGTTTTATACTAATAGAAATTTCACTGTTTTGTTTCAGGGTTAGTTCTGATGCGAAAATAAATGTTTCAGATCTGAAAGTCTGAAATCTGGGCGAGAGATGGCGCTACGGCTAAATGATCGCCATTTTGGTTTTCCATTATCGCGCAAATAAAAGCAATAAAATATTCCAGTCAAATTACTGTAACGAAGAATCTAAAACACAATATTACATGTAGGTATGATTAGGTAGGTAGGTAGGTAATTTTAACAAAATCGAATGAATCTAGATGACCATTTTAATTTTTGCCAAAAAGTGAGCGTGGCTCGAAAGTAGGTCGACTGGCGTGCTCCAAAATAGGACGTTCAAATCCCTCCCATAGGAGTAACAACTGTATTCAATTTGAAACATGTTGGTCAAACGGTTCTTGAGTTATCGTTGACCGTAGGCAGACACTGAAATGCATAGTAAAATTGGCAAAATCTACCTAAATTGCATAATTTAAAAAAAATATCAAAACCCGTGTGATAGGCTATGTTTTGGGGCCAGTCCTTATTCATTCACATACCAAAAATGAGCAATATCCGTTGAACCTGAACTGACTTATGGCCATTTCCATTTTTGTCAAAAAGTGGGCATGGCTCGAAAGTAGGTCAACTGACATGCTCCAAAATAGGACGTTCATATCTCTCCCATAAGAGTAACAACTGTATGCAATTTGAAACATGTGGGTCAAATGATTCTCAAGTTATCGTTGACCGTAGCCAAATGTTGACGGACAGACGTACGACGGACGACACCCCATGGCAATAGCTTTGACGATGTCAAGGCGAGCTAAAAATGTATGATATCACGGAAATGTCTATAAATAAATGAATGAGTGCATGCATGTGCATGTGTGTACACGTGAGCGTGTTTGTCTCTGTCCATGTGTGCGTGCTTGTTCGCATGTGAGTGTGTCTGTATCCCTATCTATGTCTGCCGGCGCTAATGTCAGGTATGTGTGTGTGTACGTGATTGTGTGCCTATGACTTAATGTAAACCACTTACATTACATTATATACCAGAAGTTGTAACGGCTCTATCTTTACTATCTATTTGTAGGCCACCGTTAGTTACATATAGAAATCTGTTTCCTGGCCTAAGGAACAGTGGTGGAACCAGGCTTATAAAAGTTGGGTGGGGGAGGGGCAAGCTGAGGGCAAGGGAAAATTTTTGAGGGCCAAAATGCTGTGATCGCGTCGGGGCTGGCCTTACAGAAGCTCTGAGCTTTTAGCATTTTTGAGGTGAAAAATCAAGACTCTGTATGCCTTAAACAGAGAAATAAACATGCATATAGAGCATTTCTGATCCACATCCAAACTTCTAATTTTACATAGTGTGCTAGTGATGTAAATAAAGGCTATCCAGGGAAATTGCTGTTTCGCGGAAAAATAAAGGGAAAAATCGTAGTGGCGGAAATGGAATAAGAAAGCGGAAATTTTCCGCCAAAATCGGGAGGGTTGGGAGGTCTGCCACTCAATAAGAATTCAAATTACATAGACTAGGGATAAAACCCAAAGAATGAAAGGCAACATTTTGGGCCTATCGAGTAAAATTTATATTGTCATTGTTCCTGCGAACTATGTCCTTAAAACCTTTGTGCAGTCCTGACTGGGGGGGGGGGGGAGCAAATGCCCCCATGCCCCCTCTTGGTGCCACCACTGCTAAGGAAATAGTGAGACCACATTTGAAGCATCTAGTTTACCTTCCGTTAGAATAAATACACAATATTACGGAATACGGCACAAATATATGATAACTGGGGGATTTGCTACATACTGCCCACTAGAAATTGCCCTTTTACCAGAGTCACAGTCAAACATTATTGAGGCACATCTGGTACAAGTGAAACATGGTAATATATCAACTTCCCTGTGTAGAACTTCGAGCACTATTCACACGTGATAGTTATGTACCTGCGCTTTAGTTTCGATATGACTCAAATCGGCAGCAACACCAAGAGTATGGACGATGTCAAACAGCGACAGCTTGCTGATGAGGGGAGACTGTTTCAGCAGCAGGGACAAGGGCTGGCCAATGCCTCCACTTGCTCCAAGAACAGCAACATTGGCATTTCTGAAAGTTAAAAATACCTGTATTACTGTTTACAAAGAGTGATACGATTTTAAATCCATACAATAACTGTGCATATCCTACTTATTCGATATCATTGCTAATGAGAAATAATAAAAGCCATTGGAAATTGCTAATGTTATGAATGACACCATTTAATTAATTTATGTTGTATTAATCATCAGAATACCGATTTTAGCTGCCATGGTTATGTACTAGAGTTATTTTATGCCATGTACCGATTTCTGTCAATCACCACTATGTTGCCCTTCAGACCCTAAACTAAAGATTACATTAATTTCCAAACTTATTGCTTCCCAACTTAGCACAAGTTCATAACAATGTTTTTCTGTCACTCTTTTTATATAAAACTAAAATGACGATACCAAAAGAATCTGTTGCCCATTCATCAGAATGTTTTCTCAACAGCCATGGATATAGTTTGCACAATGACATGATCTAGAATGTTAATTAATACGTGTACATGTTGAAATGAAAATGTTATCTCTAACAAAAGACATGAACCAAATTCTACAAACGTGGACATTTACACCTCTCAATTGGCTCGAGACTAGTGGGTGCGCGTAAGAGCCGGTGCATTGTCACGACTAGCATGCATGACATCTGAGCAGTGATCACATTTAGTCCACCTTCAGCCCAGTTAATTTATTTGATTAAAGGTTATCTATAGGTCTAGGAGATCCGAGAGGCCGGTTTTCTGATGCGGTAATCTTCGCCACGGTGAGCATCAAGCCCACGCCACCGATCTCAGTGTATAGCCCGTGTGTCGGACACCAACATAGGCTTATCCATATAAATTTGTAAAAATCTAAAAATAAATCCACCTTTATTTGTAGATATAATGAAGATAAATAGGCCTTAAAGGGATACCAGACTCTAGGATTTTACTGCATACGACTGTACTTACTGTATAACAAATCGTCTATACCCACACGTACTTGTTACCAGATACCTAATTTAATTGTTGTAATTAATTATACATCAACGCTACGAAATTTGAACGGCGCCAATGACACCCGCAACCGTGCTGCCACTCTGAAAAAGTTGCGCAACTTTTCAGATCGTGCGCTTTGAGTGGCGCCACCATCGTTGTAATCAAACTGTAGTCGTTACTTTTAAAACATTAAAAAAAAAATGCCTAATGGTGATTGAACCATGAAACTTTTTATGTGGCGTAATTTTAACCTAAATTAACTGAAAATAACCCTAGAACCTAGAGTAAGGCTAGTTTCTTCTAAAAGTAAAAATAAAAAAGCTGCGTGAGCATATGGAATACTTCGTTATTGATAATAGTGATGGGAATCGGTTGGAATTTCATCATCGATCATTGGTTTCACCGAACCGATCAACAATCGAAGACAGATTGTTAAACGTTATTGATCGCAGCCACCAGATATTGAAATATATCATATATCATATAATATTTTTCATAATCAGCCCTCGACAGTAACGGTTGTCCGACTACTCGGGACTAACTAGTGTAAGTCTATGTCGGACAAGTTATTCTCTTGGCTAGTTGCCCGATCGGAAGACTGGAAAATTTCTTTTGTGTAATGTTCCTAACATCCTTTGAGCCAGGGCGCATCGCACGACATTCTCACTTATAGTTTTGAAGGTCGTCGAAAAAAAGCAGCGCGCGACACGCGTATTACCCACGTCACCAGCTCTGCACATCGTGGCTGCGTACGTGCCTGCTGGCTGGGGCGGCATTGATTGAAGTATGGGGGGGGGCACGATTGTTTCAGTCGCGTGGGCCATGTTCATTACTGAAATTCTAGGGGGTGGGCACCGCTGGTATGAGAGAGCGACATCAAAACTCTTTCCTGGAATTGAGGAAAAAGCTGCAATCGGGTGGGCCGGCACGCAAAAATAATACGATTTTCCATGTATATACTGTAATAATAATATGATATATGCACTGAATCAAAAATTTTCCTAAACGGCTCATAGATTGCAAGTAAATTCTTGACAAGTAAAATCAAAATTCGGACAAGTAAAAATTTCTTCTTGTTGGCCGACAGGACCACCAGATCTGAAAATAAGCGTCGAGACCTGATAAATACAACATTCTAAAATCTATGTAACAGTATTATACTTGTTCATGTTTGGTGTCGGTTAGATTTACTTCCTCTGGCCAAAAAGGTCTGTGAGGTGGCAATTTTGTTTGGTGTGTTTGGGCATTTCGAGGTCCTAGCGAAGCGAGCACCACACTTGTGGCCAGGGCCATCAAAATCTTTGAAAAAATCGTGCAATTTGGTGCATTCTAAGCTATATTTCCATTTTAGTTTATTGATTGATTTATTGATTTCAGTGATTTTCATCAGTGAGGCAGTGTTTTGGACAAATTTCTATGTGGCGGCTGAGAATTTGAGTGAGGCGGCCTGCCTCACTCCAGTCAATGCAGGGGAAACACTGCCCACAAACACGAAATTCACACGTTTATTTTTTCGTGCCGGCACGCTCAATGTGTGTCATTCCCGATTGCAGCTTTTTCCTCAATTCCAGGAAAGTTTTGCTGTCGCTCTCTCGATCATCCCAGCAGTGCCCCACCCCCTACATATATGACATATTGGTGATGAACAACGTCCACACAACTTAGATAGTCGTGTGCACCCCCACCCCCCACACACACACATCAATCAACGCTGCCCCTGCGAGTCCTGCCGCCCCAAGCAGTACTGCACCGTGCACGACTGCACGTACACAGCCATGCATGCGGCGGGCGTGCTATTAATAAATCTGGGTGTCGTGGGCTGCTTTTTTTGGTGACCTTTGAAATTATAACGTGCTCAATGGATGTTAGGAATATTTGACATTTGAGTCACACTCCTGAGCAAACACTGTGATGAGTACTTTGTCTTTTTTTCATAATCTGCTATTAATCGAGCACTTAGTTGGTTGCTGCAAACGACTGACTTTTAATTATAATCGATCATCGGGACAAAGTCACGTCACTAATTGATAAGCTGTAAGAATGTGCAGCGCAATCTCGAGATTGTCACACAGATTTCCGATCAGTAGATTGTGCAGTGCAATCTTAAGTTAAGAATATTGCCTCCTGCAATGGCATGTGAATCAATAGCTCCAAGAAACGGTCTTGCTAGGGTTAGACGAGATAGTATAGACGATGTATAGACAATCGGTCGCACAGCCTGGTCGGGCTATATAGCTCCAAGAAACGGTATTGCTAGGGTTAGAATACGGTTTCAAACATTGGCTGCAGCTAAACACGTAGTTGTCTTATTTGCCAAGTATCGCCAAAGAACACTTCACATGTGATATACCAAATGAATCAGTATACATCCACCTTCTTGTAACCATCAGTGCGCTACGATGCGCTGGGTACTTACGGAGTTACAGCGACTTTTTGAGACGAATGCAACCAAATTTATGAATTTGCCGCCATGTTTGCTATCATTCCGACTGTGACTAAAATCCGCAATGGATCAAACAAGGGGAATTAAACGATCTGCGGTCCTCATGTAAACCACCCCTACATCCGAGAACATGTCATCTAAGGTTTTTACAAATGGCCCAGACATTTGTGAACATCATTTCACTTCCTTTGGAGTTTGGTGTGTAATTGCCGTGAGAGCCATCGTGCAGCTATTGTACTATTTCTGTAGTATTTTCTAGCGAGTCTATTCCGTTTCGGGTTTTCCGTGTCTCTCTTCCATTGACTCATGCGCAGTGTAAACATGGCGGGTAAAGACGATTGGAAAGTTGATATGCTGTGAGAATTAGCAGATTATACCATGAATTAAGAGATACATTCTAGTTTAGATGCAGGACAACTGTGAGTTAACGTTCATATTTCAAACAAGGCAAGTCAAAGGTGGTAATAATTCAATTCAATTCAATTCAAAAAATTTATTTATCACCATAATTTGCAAAAATACAATGATGTAGAAAACATTATTTTGAAAGGTGAAGGGGTAGCGAAAGACCACCATCTAGATCTGCAGAGGTGATAGGTTTTGTGTATGGAAGGGTGCCAGGCTGTATAGACAATCTGTCGCACAGCCTGGTCGGGCTAGGTCGGGCTAGTGAATCAATACTGTCAATACACCGATTGACAGTTCTGTGCCAGTAGTTTCGCATCTCCGCGAGAGACCGGATGTGCGAGTAAACTCCGCCATGTTGTTTATCTCGATGCGTTGTCTACCTTGCATACGCAGGTCGCTCACCTTTGTGTCGAAGAACAGTGCACGTAGCAGGGAATAGAGCACCGATAATGGATGACCTGAGTGACATGACACTTGATACATTTAAATTATGGTCAATTCATGCTCTAA